CTGGGCTGGATTCGAACCCGCCACCTTAGGTGTATGTGGCTGGCACCTTAGCCACTTGAGCCACAGGCACCAAGCCAACTTTTTCTTTTTTTGAGACAGAGTCTCAAGCTATTGCTCTGGGTAGAGTGCCCTGGCATCGTAGCTCACAGGAACCTCCAACTCAGGCTCAAACAATCCTCTTGCCTCAGGTTTTCTTTTTCTGAGACAGAGTCTCAAGCTATCATCCTGGGTAGAGTGCTGTGGAGTCATAGATCACAGCAACCTCAAACTACTGGGCTTTAAGCGATTCTCTTGCCTCAGCCTCCCGAGTAGCTGGGACTATATAGGCACCTGCCACAATGGCTGTCTATTTTTTGGTTGTAGTTGTCATTGGTAGGACTGGGCCAGATTTCAACTCGCCAGCTCCGGTGTATGTGGCTGGCACCCTAGCTGCTAAAGGCCCTAAACCTTGCCTCAGGTTTTCTATTTTTAGTAGAGACGGGGCCTTGCTTTTGCTGAGGCTGGTCTAGAATTCGTGAGCTCAAGCAATCCACTTGCCTCGGCCTCCCAAGAGTGTTAGGATTCCAGGCGTGAGCCACTCTGCCTGGCCAATACAACTACTTTCAGATAAAAATGTTCATAGTGTCTTTATCATGTATGTTCAGATGTAAACCCCACCTCAAAACCCAAATTTTAGATACATATACTAACATGGAAAATCTCAAAATCATCATAATGCCAAGTAAAAAAAGCCAGGCAAAAAAGAGAATATGCAGCATGATCTCAATTACATAAAATTCTAGAATAGCAAAACTAATTAATTTATGGTAACAAACCACCAATCAGTAGTTGCCTAGAGTAAAGACTGCCCAGGGGCATGAAGGAATTTTTTCAGGTGTAATACAAATAATACCTTGGGGCTTGGCGGCTGTGGCTCAACTGGCTAAGGCACCAGCCACATACACCTAAGGTGGCGGGTTCGAATCCAGCCCAGGCCCGCAAAACAACAATGATGGCTGCAACCAAAAAATAGCCAGGCATTGTGGTGGGCGCCTGTGGTCCCAGCTACTGGGAGGCTGAGGCAGGAGGTTCACTTGAGCCCAGGAGTTGGAGGTTGCTGTGAGCTGTGATGCCACGACACTCTACCCAGGGGGACAGTTTGAGGCTCTCTCTCTCAAAAAAACAAAACAAACAAACAAACAAACAAAACAAATAGTACTTTGGTTGTAATACTAGTTACAATGTGATAATTATAAAACTTACTGAACTGCATATTTTATTATATGTAAAGTATATCTCATTAATGTTGATTAAAATAACTTTTGCTCTCTCTCTCTCACCTCCTTCTGCCTTCCTTCTCTCTCTCTCTCCTGTCTTCCCCCTCACTCTTCTCTGCTCTCTCTCTCTTCTTTCCCCAATTCTCTCCTTATCTCCCCTCTCTTCTCTCCTCCTCGGTGCTGCTCTGCAGCCTCCCTCCCATACCAATAAAGACCTTTCCTACAGGCTCAGCACCTGTGGCTCAAGTGGCTAAGGCGCCAGCCACGTACACCTAAGGCGGCAGGTTCGAATCCCCAGACCAGGCCCGCCAAAACAACAATGATGGCTGCAACCAAAAAAAAATGGCCAGGCGTTGTGGCGGGCACCTGTAGTCCCAGCTACTTGGGAGGCTGAGGCAGGAGACTCACTTGAGCCCAGGAGTTAGAGGTTGCTGTGAGTGTGATGCCATGGCACTCTACCCAGGGGGATAGCTTGAGGCTCTGTCTCAAAGAAAAAAAAAGACCTCTCCTACAAAAAAAAAAAAAAAAACTTTTATCTCTCATCTTCATATCTACAATATGTCTTCCATTGAACTACTATCAAGTTTATTTAGTAATTTATACAGATTCACGGCAATTTGGGGGCATAAGAAAGGGGAAAGAACTCAGGAAAGGATTCCCTGGGGGTTCATAGAGCACTTAAGTGACTAGCATGCCTGGCTCTGATTTACCTGTCACTGTAAAGCTTTAGAAGGTGAAAGCAGACATCTCGAAGTGGTCTCTGTGAGTCTTGTTCCTCTTCTACCACACAGCCAAAGCCCTCGATGTATGAAGGAAGTGGGGAACAGGCATATCTGTCACCCTCAGAGGTATTCTGAAGGGAAGAATTTTACAAAATAATACATTAGCTACTAGTCAGTTTTACTAGATACTATCATGTCTTAATTACATAGGCACTCTAAAGGAATCCATCAAGGGCTTTAAACTTTTTTAATTCATGACCCATTTCACTTGTCTTCAATGGCCTGGTAAAGATTTTAAGCAGTTCTCACTAAACTCCTATACTTTTCTTGCCACAAGTTTTTCTCTGTCTTTTTTTTTTTTTTGAGACAGAGTCTCACTATGTCACCCTTGGTAGAGTGCTGTGACATAGCTCACAGCAACCTCAAACTCTTGGGCTAAGTGATTCTCTTGTCTCAGCCTCCCAGGTAGCTAGGATTACAGGTACCCACCACAACACCCGGCTATTTTTTTGTTGTAGTTGTCATTGTCGTTTAGCTGACCTGGGTTGGGTTCAAACACGGCTCCTTTAGTGTATATGTGGGTGCCGCCGTAACCAGTGTATTACAGGCACTGAGCCAGTTTCTTAATGTATATTCAGTTTCTTTAGTGTTCTTTTTTCCTGACAAATAATTCTGACAAATGTTATCAAAGACAATTGTAGGGACAATAAGAAGAGAGTACAATAATGATGGCATTAATAATACTTCAACATGAAAAATTATGAGAAACATGAAATATGTTATTTAGAGGGAAATTTTATAACTATTAACTTTGGTGTTAAATCAATCCTCAGATCAGGCTGTAGATGAATAAATTCCCAAAGGAATAAGACAGGATTAGAGGCGGAAAAACTACAGTGGTAACCTCAGCTCTAGAAACTCATCAAATTAAATAAAATAAAAGCAGACATGTGGAAAAGCAGCCCTGTCTAGGAATAAGGATAAAGTTTCTCACAAAATTCTGTAGGTCCACTTCAATTTTATAGTATTTTCAAAATAGGCAGTTAGTAGGAAGTATGACAAAATGTGAATTGTTTTTTTTTCTCTGCAAGATTTCTGTAGCAAAAACAGAACACCTGCCAGTTTTCTTGATTGACTCTATTTGCCATATATATACCTGAAATGCTTCTTCATACATGCTGAGTGCCCTAGAAATGGAGGCTGTTGGTGGTAGCAAATACCAAAGATGGATAGCCAGGCAGCGTTTCCAATCCAAATGGGAGCACACGTTGATTTGCTTCTGCTCTGACAGCTGCCACACCTGCAGGAGACAAAATCATCACCATGGCAATATTTAACCTTATAACCGCCTAAGTCTATAAGTTATTAATTTATTCAACCCACCACCCCTTGTGCACAGGGCTGCTGCTCTAACCACTGAGCTATGGACGCCCAGCCAGAATACCATTATTAATGATCCAGATGAAATATACAGTCCCTTGCTGGCCGGTGAGAGAGTGGATTTAAACAAATAATCAGTGCTATGAAAAGAGATGATAGCCACTGAAAAGAGAACAGGTCTGCTCATTGGCCATACTTGTCAAGTTGAGCATTAATTCTGACCAAGTGTTTCTGAAAATTGACTACATGTATAAGAAGGTAATCAAAGAAATAGGCAATGATAGAGAAACGGAATAAAAATGGCTTTTTAAAAAAAAATGGTGTTTTGGGTGGCACCTGTAGCTCAAAGGAGTGAGGCGCTGGCCCCATATGCCAGAGGTGGTGGGTTCAAACACAGCACCAGCCAAAAACCACAAAAAAGATGTTTCATAACATGGAAAAATGTTCATATACTGTAGGTTAAAAAAAGTAGCAGAACTATTGGGTCTAATTGGTTTTTCTTCTATATACAAATAAGTAAATATGAACACATAAATGTTGAAGAAAATGTAAAATATGTATGGGGAGAGAATTTATTTATTTATTTTTTTGAGACAGAGCCTCAAGCTGTCCCCCTGGGTAGAATGCCATGGCCTCCCAGCTCACAGCAATCTTCAACTCCTGGGCTCAAGTGAGTCTCTTGTCTCCGGGTCCCAAGTAGCTGGGACCACAGGTGCCCGCCGCAACACGTGGCTACTTTTTGGTTGCAGTCATCATTGTTGTTTGGCGAGCCCGGGCTGGATTTGAACCTGCCACCTTAGGTGTATGTGGCTGGCGCCTTAGCCACTTGAGCCACAGGCGCTGAGCCTTTTATTTATGTCAACCTCAGTAGAGTGCTGTAATACCACAGCTCACAGCAACCTCAAACTCTTGAACTTAAGCGAGTCTCTTGCCTCAGCCTCCCAAGTAACTGGGACTACAGGCATCTGCCACAACGCCTGGCTATTTTTTTGATTGTAGTTGTTATTGTTGTTTCGCAGGCCCGGGTTGGATTCAAACCTGCCAGCTCTGGTGTATGTGGCTGGCGCCCCAGCCACTTGAGCTATAGATGCCAAGCCAGAAAGAGAATTTATATTGTTTACCACTAACATAAGATATGGTGAAATTTAAAGTTTTGATTTATACGTAACTAAATTTTTCTATAATGTGCATGCTTGCATTTAGAAGTTGAAAATATTTACATTGAAAATTAATTTACCCAGTAATGTCTAACTGTGTGCAGTTTATAAAGATGGACAGCTCTTTGCTTCAACCTTAAACTACCTTGAATTTATAAGAAAACTGAAGTGAGATTATGGAAAAAGAAGAAGATACCGGTTTTCCAGCCAATAGGGCAAAGATTCGCAGTCTCTCATCCTGGATAAAGCAGTCAGCCTGGAGCTGATGCCAATCCGCCAGTTGCATGGTGAGCAGCTCTCGGACTGACTGGCTACCCACAAACTGAGATAAAAGAAGGGCAAGACGATGATCACCTGTAAGAGAAGCAGAAGTTCTCTGGTGATTACTAAGGAATTACAGACTTGGTCAAACACTTGTGGGATTAATCCTATTTCTTTAAGAGGGAGGACTTAACAACAGTGACTGCTTTTTGCAGTAGTACCAAAATGTGAATCAAAAACATCATTTTCTCCTTAGGTAGAAAATTAACAAGGTAGTTTAACCTAAATTATATATTGACTATCCAGTACATAGATATCAATAACAGACAATATTAGTTCTGTGACCCGAAGCAAGATACATTAGTTATAAATGGAGAACACCATCCAATTCAAAAGGTTGTATAAGACCAGGTGTGATGGCTAACACCTATAATTCTAGCACTTTGAGAGGTCAAAGGGTGACAGCTTGAGGTCAAAAGTTTAAGACCAGCCTAGCCAACATAGCAAGATCCGATCTCTACAAGAAATTAAAAATCAGCCAGGTGTGGTGGCATGCGCCCGCAACCCTAGCTATGGGGGAAGCTGAGGCAGGAGGATCACTTGAGTTCAGAAGTTGGAGGTTGCAGTGATCTATGACAATGCCACTGCACTCGAGCTAGAGAGAAGAGAGAGAGAGAGACCCTGTTTAAACAAACAATAAAACCCCAACTATCTCCCTTGGCTTTAATCATTAAAAAACTGACTGATTGGCTTGGTGCCTATGGCTCAAGTGGCCAAGGCACCAGCCACATATACCTGAGCTGGCAGGTTCA